TAAAAACCACGATAAATATACGCAAGTTTCTGTTCTAAAATCAAATTAAATAACAGGCCTACTCTAAAAATACCCCATACAAAACTAATAAAAGGTGTTTTATTAAAAACACCCCCTGATTTTATTTTTATTGGTTTTTTTACAATCACAAATGCTTAATATTTTATCAGCAACGTAGAGCCTGGGTTCCAACATTTAACTTCCTAATACATGTTAAATTCCTTTCTCTCCACCTCGTTTTCCTAGCCATTAATAAAAGGTGTTTTATTAAAAACACTCCCTGATTTTTGACGTCAGAGCTGAGGATGGATTGCCAACTACTTAAAGTTTGTCTCGCCCATCCTCCAGAACTGTGACTTCCCACTTCCACAAATATCCGAATAAATCCTATTTCTAACAGGGAATGCCAAAGAACCCTTTGTCTTTTTTTTTAATTTAAAAAAAGCCACATTTTCACCATTTAGGCACCATAAATCCATCTTTTAAGGAAGCATCTGAGATCCCACCCATCCTGTTATCTCTTTTCTGTTCCCAAAGATCTTACGAGCGGGCGGGATTTTTTTTTTTTACTCGGGTTTCATTATTATCAAGCCTTTGGTTGCTTTTTATCGTTTCTTTCAGAAGTTTCCTTCCAATTATTTTCCTTGGCAGGCTTGACATCTTCCCACTTCCTTGCCTTCCCTACAAACAGGAGTTGAAAGGGCTGCGTTGATGGGCTCCAGAGTAGGGCCGTGGGACCGCCACCTTGCTCGTCTCGAAGACACGTCGGGGATGCAAGCATCCGTTTTTTCCCCACATCCGAGGTAGTCCTCGTCTTACGACCACAACTGAGCCTCACATTTCCGCTAAGCAAGACAGCGGTGGAATTTTTGCCCCATTTTACGACCTTTCTCGCCACAATTGTTAAGGGAAACGCTGCAGTCGTTAAGTTAGTAACACGGGTGTTAAGCGAATTCAGCTTCTCCATTGTCAGAGGGTCGCCAAAGGGGATCGATCACATGACCCTGGGACACTGCAACCGTCCTAAGTACATGTCAGTTGCCAAGCGTTCTGACTTTTGATCACGTGACCACGGGGATGTGGCAACGGTGAGAAGTTATAAGTCACTTTTTTTTCCAGTGCCGTTATAACTTGCAGTCACTAAATGAACTGTTGTAACTTGAGGATTGCCTGTGTTAAAGGCTGAGCTTTGGCTTAAAGTTGTCATTCGGAAAACCCCGTTTTGCAACACCGGGAAGAGGCCACAATATGTTTCCGTGGCAAATGGTCCAAAAATGGCTGGAGTGATGTAAACTCTCCTGATCCTTCTGCCAGTATCCCAAAATTCTTCCACGCTGGCAATAAAGCCCACTAATACAGTAGTGGCCAAAATTGTGGAAACCTTTTCGGAAAAGTGTACAGTAGAAATGCCACCTTTGGTTAAGTTTCCACCCATTTTTCTTCTAATTTCTTTACAACTGTAGCCTTGTTCACTTAATAATACTATTTTACATCGCTTTCTGGGTGACCAGTCAACTCTTTGCACCATTACTTTAATTTTATTACGTTTTACAAGCTCACTAAGTGAAAGAACACAAAAAAACCCCCAACCAACTTGATAGCCATCACACAACACACTGACAAATGTCCTCCTCTCAGCTTCAATACATGACATCAATCACTGGATCCTGCTGTGATCTGATTGGCCCATTGCCAAAACAAGATGACACCTGATTGGCTCTCTAAACACTCACGCTCATTGGCTACAATCAGAGGAAGGAAAGCTACCTGAGATCAACCTAAGCAAGTTGTGCTTCCATTTTCTGGTTATTTGGCTATAACTTTTCATAGAATACAGTACAGACAATTGAACCAACTTTGTTGCATTACATTCTTGATTAAATTATCTTTCCATTGATATATAATTTTATGGTACTACTCCAAAAAAAAGTGGTGTTATTAGCCATCAAACCTGAAAAATACACTTTTCCCAAAAGGTTTCCACAATTTCGGCCACTACTGTAAATCTACAGAAATGATTATTTTTTTTTCCCCTCCACTCGCTTGGAAGCGAGAAACGAAATGACCTCTCTTGTGGTCTAGCTGCAAATTACAGGCAACATTTTACTCCCATAAAAAAAAGGCACAAGGATGGTTTTTGTTCAGGGCTCGCTCTCTTTTTAAGGCGAAAATTCGGCACTCGTCAGTTGCGGCGTTCGTTTTGCTACCTTTTTTTCCCTTTTTTTTAGTGCTCTCTATTCTGGCCAGGTTCCCAATCAATTCTTCAAAGGACCACCACTGACCATTCAGATGTTCAGGAGGGTTCTGCAAACAGTTCCTGGAGGTCTCTTTGCTTGCAAAAAAGCCCCAAACAAACCAAAACACTATGTTGCTTGAGGACACCAGCAAAAGCTGATGTTTGCAAAAATGTAAACCCCAATTTGGCTGGCCTCACTTACCCTGGCATATATTGTGAGTTTCTCCAAGCCTTTGAAGATATCTTAAAGCTTGCCAAATACTTTATGACTGTTTTTTCAACCTTAGCAACTTTTAAGGTTTGTGGACTTCAATTCCCAGAATTCCCCAGGCAGCATGGGTGCCTGGGGAATTCTGGGAACTGAAGTCCACATCCTTTAAAGTTGCCAAGGTTGAAAAACAATGACAGGACAAGTACAAAACTTCCCCACATTCTTCCTGGTCCATGAATAGCCATCTCCCCAGAGCACCGTGGATGGTTAGGGAGAGGATCGAGAAAGCTCCACCGGAAACAAAGATAAATGAGGTGCTATTTAAATGTATCCAGCGGCCAGGATTTCTACAACTCAACTCTTTTCTCCCTTTCAATAAATCTAGTTAAAGAAGATTGCGAGAATCTTTTTGTTTCGGTTGGAAGCGGCTGGCTGGGGAATTCTGGGAGTTGAAGTCCACACACTTTAAAGTTGCCATGATTGGGAAACTCTGCATTAGATGCTCTCCCAAGGTCCCTTCCAGGCTTCATGGTTCTACAAAGCCCTCGTGGACCTATATGGAAAAGGATGTGGGGATAACCTTGACCCACTGCTCCTTCATTCCTTCATCAGTCCCCTTAAATGGAACATATCTAGGTCTCTGTGGATAAGGCAAGGAAAGGAAGGATGAATGGTTGGTAACTCCCCAAAACACAGACACAGACACACAGGGGAGACCTGTAGAATTTGCAGTTCCCCACCGCTGGGGAGAATTGCAAGTAGGATCAATTGTGGATCCATTTTCAAGGCACGACTAACCCCTTTTCTCCTTTCCAGACTTAGTATTGCTAGCCTTTTTATGGCAAATTAAACCCAACCAATCTCCCCACTCCAGCCTTGCACATTGATGAATATCTCCCGTCCCCCTCCCACGCATTCTGCTTCTCCTTTTATTTGATTGTGGATGTCCCAAAGGTGCTTTTTTCCCGAAAGACAAACTGAGACTTTGTTTTTCCTTGAAGACGTTTCGCTTCTCATACAAGAAGCTTCTTCAGTTCTGACTGAATGGCGGAGGATGGAAGGATTTCTATGCCTTGCAGTGAACTGGTCTTAGCCCTCTTCCTGAGAGTCGTTGAGGCCACTTGGAGGTTTATCTTTGACAAATGGGGTCAAAGAGGCCATCTACATTAAGACTGAATAGCCCTCTCTCAACAGAGGGGGAGGGATATGTCACCCTCTATCTCCTGTTTACAACACAGTCCTGTCAGCAGTTCCAAGAAGGCTCTACACCAGACATGTCAAACACAAGGCCCGGGGGCTGGATGCGGCCGGCGAAGTGGTTTCATGTGGCCCGCAAAGCCATCCTGGAAACAATGAGGGAACGGCCCCCGCTGCCTTGGCCCTGGCCCAGGCCGGCCGGGAGCCAATGTACAATTTTGTGGTGGCCATCTATGCTGAAACGCATTCAGTCTTAGCTCCACAAGGCCGTCTGGAAACAGCAAGGAACCATCCCCTGCCGCGTCGGACCCGCCCCCTGGGTGCCTGCTGGGGAGGTGTCACCCTTTGTGAGGAATGAAGAAATGGACCATGCCTTGGCGCTTGCCCCGGTCCCACACCCTTCTGCCAGAGACCCTCAGATCTGTCCCACTCCTGCCCAGGCCCCCACAGGCACCCTTGAATCGAACGATGTAGAGCTGGCCATGCCCACCCAGTAGGCCACACCCATTTCATCCACACCCACCCAGTAGGCCACACCCACCCTGGCCACACCCACCCGGCCCCCCCAAGGGCAACCACAATGCTGATGCGGCCCTCAATGAAATTGAATTTGACACCCTTGCTCTACACCCATTTGCACCACTCAGGTGACCCTCAGGGCACAGGTAAACCTCCAAGTGGCTTCAACGACTCTCAGGAAGAGTACTAACGACCAGATGACTGCCAAGGAACGGAAATCCTTCTATCCTCCACCATTCAGAACTGAAGAAGCTCCTTGGATGAGAAGCGAAGCATCTTCAAGAAAGAAACAAAGTCCGCTCACCTTTTCAAAAAAGCACCTTTGGGATAACCATGACCCGGATGACGGAGAATCTCCAGACACATTTAATTGTGGGCGCAGAAGCTGTTCTCCCAAGTACTTGCTGTGCTTCTCGCTTTCCTGACACCCCCGTGCGAAGTGCTTTGCTCTCCCCTGCTGAGAGATGCAACTTTCACACACACACTGACACACACACACACACACATCCCTGGGTCCCTTGTCCAAAACTTCACTTTATGCACCCCACGTTTGAAGGCCAAGCACACGCAGCTCATATAGCATGCTGGGTCACGCTACGGTCAAAAGCGGAGATTGTCTTTCCAGATTTCCGAAGAGGGCCCACATCCTTCCCGCATATCGGCACTTGTGGCTGAAGATTTGAGTTTTTTTCATCTTTACGGACATTTTGAGGCGAGGGGGCAGAGAGCTACTTAGCGCAAAGTTCCACCTTTTCTCTCTCTCTCTCTATACTCCCCTCCCCTCTCCTCTTTTTCTTTTCCTTTTCTTAAAAAAACAACAACAACACGCCCCACCACTTATAAATGGGTGTCTTCTTCCTCGTCCAGATCCTCCTTGGTCAGGCTGTCCATGGGCACAATCCAGCTGTCTCCCAGCTCCCCGTTCAAGTTCACCTTCTTTTCCTGCATGTCGGAGAAGGTCTCCATCACTTCCAAGGTGGGGTTGTCGTGGTAGCCGTTCTCAATGGTGTGCAGCTCCTCCGTCAGGCGCTGCTGGACAGAAGGAAAGGCGGAGACGTCATGGAGATGGGATGGAGTCGTCACGATGGAATTGCCTAAAATACCATCTTTCCCCCGAAAATAAGACCGGGTCTTATATTAATTTTGGCTCCAAAAAAGACGCATTAGGGATTATTTTCCAGTTAGGGCTTATATTCGGGGAAATACGGTACCAAATGCGTCCGTCCGGCTGACGATCTTAACTGGGGCTTATTTTGGGGGTGGGGCTTATTTTGGGGGTGGGGCTTATATTACGAGTGTCCTGAAAAATCACGCTAGGGCTTATTTTCCGGTTGGGTCTTTTATTTGGGGAAATACGGTACCAAATGCATCTGTCCGGCTGACATCTTAACTGGGGCTAATTTTTGGGGTGGGGCTTATATTACGAGCAAATCACGCTAGGGCTTCTTTTCCGGTTGGGTCTGATATTTGGGGAAATACGGTACCAAATGCATCCGTCCAGCTGACGATCCTAACTGGGGCTTAGTTTGGGGGTGGGGCTTATATTACGAGCATCCTGGAAAAAATCACGTCCCGCTGACAATCTTAACTGGGGCTTATTTTCCGGTTGGGTCTTATATTCGGGGAAATACGGTCGCTCCCATGCTCCCCTGGGTCTCCCACCCATGCGCTATACGGGTGGTCCTCAACTTACGGCCTCAACTGAAGCCAACGTTTCTGTGGCTCAGCGACTAAGCGACCAAGTTAACTGAGTTTTTGCCCCATGTTACAACCATCCTCGCCGTGGTTGTTAATTGAATCACTGCGGGGGTTAAGTTAATCGCACGCTTGTTCTGGGAACCGAAACAAAAGGGGATCCCATGAACCCGGGACACTGCGACCGTCACAAAACACGAGCCAGTTGCAAAAGTTGATGGGAGTTAGCAGAGATGGCTAAGCTGTCTGCTTTGATTAAAGAAATAAACACACACACACACACAATTACTAAGGGAGCATCAAGGAGCCCAGGATGGCGCGGTCGTTTGACAATTTCAGAACAAGCTAGCTTACCTGGTCCTTTCTGTGAGAAATACGTTGGTGACAGCAGCCGTAGATGGCAGCTACCAGGAGTAGAGAAGCCGCCATGCAGATGATGGTGATAATCAGAGGAAGGCTCAGATGATCCTTGAACTCGGCGTCCAGGACCTGGCCCCCATAGGTGATGTTGTTAACGCCGAGCTGTGAAAAAATACCAGGTGAATGGCTGACTTCAGGCAAAAAGAGACCTCTATTTTGAATTCTCTATGAATTTCATGGAGGGCTTTGCAGGTAGCACCGATAAAGGAGAATATCTGTAGCTTAGAATATCTGTAGCTTAGTGTCATGCCACGTGTGCCTGGCTGAGGAATTCTGGGAGTTGAAGTCCACAAGTCATAAAAGGGCCACGTTTGAAGACCCCCCCGTCGTAGACCAAGTGGAAAATGATGAGAATTGTAGTCCAGCGCTTCTGGAGAACCCCAACTTTTGAGAAGACTGATATTACATGAGATCAGGGCTGCCAAACCTTGGTAATTTTAAGGCTTGTGGACTTCAATTCCCAGAATTCACTAGCAAGCATGGCTGGCTGGGAGATTCTGGGAGGTGAAGTTCCACAGGTCTTGAAGTAGCCAAGGTTGGACACCCCTGCCTCAGATGAAATAACTAGGAGGGAAGAATACATTTCCCCATATTTATTAAACAGAATTCCATCCTGAATTACAAATGGCGAAATTGGAAGATAATGATTGCTTATTAAGAGAATGACTCAAACTTTTCCTCAGCAGCAGTGTCCATAACAAGTCATGATGAGGTGAAAATGTCCACACATATCTTGATGTCTAACCTGAGATTTAATTGTGAGAAGCTCTCTTCTAACCAGGCATTGAAATAAATGTCTCTGGCTGTCACTGAGGTTGTGAAAAAGGCAGTTCTCCGATGTTCCAGACGTGGCTTAAATTTGTGTGCATCACTTATAACCCTCTTGATCAGGGGTCTTCAAACTCGGCCCTTTTGTGACTTGTGGACTTCAGGTCCCAGAATTCCTCAGCCAGCATGCCTGGCTGAGGAATTCTGGGAGTTGAAGTCCACACGTCATAAAAGGGCCATATTTGAAGACCCCTGCCTTAAATCTAACAAACAAAATGGAGGCTGGCTGAGGAATTCTGGGAGTTGAAGTCCACAAGCCATCAAAGGGCCACATTTGAAGACCCCTGCTCTTGATGTTCCTCAACTCCAGTTCCAAGCAAGTCTGGTCCAGAAAGACCACCAGGATTTGTGTTTCAGCAACATCTGGAGGACAATGTGTCCTGGTTGAAATCCAGGAGGCTGGACCTTATCCAAAACTACTTCCTGCTTACCTTCTCCAGTTCTGCCCTCTTTGTAGCCAGAGCTTCGGATAATTTCTCATCCACAGAGTGGGCTAAAAAAATAATAAAAATAAACAAATGGATCAAAGGGGAAAGTAGACTTGGAAGAGGAAACAGTTCTTATCAAAATTTTGCCAAGGCTACCTTGGAGTGATGCACATCCCAAAGACGCTTTTCCAAAAGGCAACTGGACATAATAACAATAATAATAGAGTTGGAAGGGACCTTGGAGGTCTTCTAGTCCAACCCCCAGCTCAGGCAGGAAACCCTATATACCATTTCAGAGAAAGAGAACTTTCTGGGTTTGTTTGAAGATATTTGAAGACGTTTCGCTCGTCATCCAAGCTTCTTTGGTTCTTCACTTCATGGAACTGAAGCTTCTTGGATGAGAAGCGAAACGATTTCAAGAAAAAACGAACAAGAAAGTCCAAGTTGCCTTTTGGAAAATTGGCAGAACTGTGAACTGGATGACTGACAACCTCGACAGACATTAAGGTGATGCTAAAAAATAAAATAAAATAAAAACGAAACTGCGTAAATTCACCCCTTTTTTATTTTAGCTGAAAACCCATCTTCAAATCTTGAGCGCGAAAAAGCTGACACTGCGTCATAAACCCGATGGAAAGAAATTGACCTGAAGGAAATTACTTTTAGTTCAGATTCAATTTCAAAAATCTAACAGCCACTTAATCGGGACTCCATCTACTTTTTTTTTTGTCCTGACCTACCCACGCTTTAGGTTTGGACCCCAACACCCAACTCAAATCCAAGTTGGCTTCTGGGCTCCAGAAAAGATCTTGGTGGTCTCTGAGTTTGGTTGCTTTCTTGCAGATGTAAGTAAGGGGCTGATCTAGGTTTTATGTTTATGTATTTTTAGATCTTCGTTCGTCTCTACAAACACTGTCACCCTTGGTAGTTAGTCACCTTGCCGAACGGAGGTCTTCAACACCCACGAGGTAATGACCTCCAAAAGTTTTTATAGGACGTGTTGGTAACCTGGTCCTACCATGTTTCAGAGGACGGAACTCGTTCCCGTTGGACTAGAAGATCTCTGAGGTTCCCTTCCAGCCCTAAGATTCTATATTCTACGTTCTTAGACTCTAAGTCTAGAGTAGGGTAACCAAGTAATGGCTTAGAAAGTCCAAGATGAAACACCCTGATGCAGACCAGCCCCACGGGGGTGGGGGGGGGAAAATAGAGTAATGGAGTTGGAAGGGACCTTGGAGGTCATCTAGTCCAACCCCCTGCTCAGGCAGGAAACCCTATGCCATTTCAGACAAATGGCTGTCCAGTCTCTTCTTAAAAACTTCCAGTGTTGGAGCATCCACAACATCTGGAGGCAGGTTGTTCCACTGGTTAATTGTTCTCAATGTCAGGAAGTTTCTCCTTAGTTCTAGGTTGCTTCTCTCCTTGATGGGTTTCCATCCGTTGCTTCTCGTTCTGCCTTCAGGCGCTTTGGAGAAGAGCTTGACTCCCTCTTCTTTGGGGCAGCCCCTGAGATACTGGAACACGGCTATCATGTCCCCCCTCGTCCTTCTCTTCGTTAAACTAGACATACCCAATTCCAGCAACCGTTCCTTATATGTTTTAGCCTCCAGTCCCCTGATCATCTTTGTTGCTCTTCTCCGCACTTTGCATGTTTGATGCCCCTATTCCCAGCATGAAACTCTTCCTGCAAGGGAGGCCAAGACTCTCAGCTTTTGCCTAAGTCTTACTCAGAGGTAACGGCAACACTTACTTTCCACAGATGCTTTGACCACAGCCACCCTCTTGAGGTCCTCTCGGTCTGAAGCTAGCCATATTGTACAGTCATCCTGATTCTGGTCGTAGTTGGCCTTCAAGGCTTTGCAAATCACCTCCACAAGAGCCTCTTTCAGTGGGCTTCCCTCCAAGCTGTTCTGCAGGGAGAAGAACACGAGTTGTAGGACCTGAGGGGTGACGGCCAACTAGAAGAGTCGCCATGACCTCTGTTGATACAGGTAGTCCTTGACGTACAACAGTTCACTTAGTGACCATTCAAAAGAGGGAGAGGGAGAGAGGGGAAGAGAGAGAGAGAGGAGAGAGGAGAGAAAGAGAGAGAGAAAGAGAAGAGAGAGAGAGGAGAGAGAGGAGAGAGAGAGAGAAGAGAGGAGAGAAAGAGAGAGAGGAGAGAGAGAGAGAAGAGAGGAAGAACAGAGAGAGAGAGGAGAGAGAAAGAAGAGAGAGAAGAGAGAGAGGAGAGAAGAGAGAGAAGAGAGGGAGGAAAGGAAAGAGAGAGGAGAGAGAGAAGAGAGAGAGAGGGGAGAGGAGAGAGAGAGAAGAGAGGAGAGAAGAGAGGAGAGAAAGAGGTGAGAGAGAGAGGAGAGGAGAGAGAGAAGAGAGGAAGAACAGAGAGAGAGAGGAGAGAGAGAAGAGAGAGAGGAG